CTCCTTAAAATTGTACTCTTATCCGAATAGTCAAAATAAGGGTGTGTGTGAGTGTTGTTCTTGTCAAAAGCCATCCATATCCACATCCTCTGTATTGTGTTAATGTATGGAAATTTTTATTTAGAAAAAATAAAATAAAATGAAAGATATCGAACAGATAGATTTATTATCTAAAATATTTCATTTATTTAATTATCATTATCTTATTTTTTATGTTCTTTCGATATTATTCCAGTTGTTAATTTAGCACAAATAATTTCATCAATGATTAAACAGTATAGTCTGGTTTAATAACGTATACAATTGTCTATTTTTCTGAGTGATAGAAAAATCATTGAATTTCATACCAAATATATAATAAGTAGTATTGCGTGACTTGATTTGTTTAATAAAAAGATTTCTGTACGTTGAACATCGAAATGTTTGATATAAATGCATATATATTCGCAGAATATTGAATTGAATATTGTTCTACGTCAGGATATGCAATGTATGCAAAGAAGATTTTCAACATTTTCCAGTGATAAAGCAGCATATGATTTGGTCTCTTATCAAATGCTTTTTCTTTCTCACATTAAAATATTTGTAGTACAATCGACACCATCGATTTCACGAACGATTAGTACCGTACCATTTCTAGCTAATCATTTTTTTTTGTTCGATTTATTATCTTTTTATTTTAAATCTTGAACCCAAAATTTGTTGTGATGGTTTCATATAATATTTTACATGTACTAATATTTCAATAAATTGCAGCATCGAGACTTGAGAACTAGAAAATATAAGTTAATGTTTATATGTGATCGAAATTTTCAGATTTCAAAAATAGTTTTCTGTTTTTTATATCTAAAATTATACAATAAAATATTTTTAAGCTGATTACCATGTATATATTTAGATATTTCTTTCATCATAGACATAGAACTTGATATTTTTGATTTTAACCGATGGTCAGTGCAAATGACAGCAATTGTTTAAATATATATATGTATCATTAAACAATTAATAAACGATATGTTTACTTAAAGAAAAACATGTTTGAAATTGGTGATGGAAGTCAAGAAAAGACAAGTATGAATCAATACAACACATCATCATGCCTGATTTTTATACGAGAGGATAGAAAAAAAAAAGAATGAAGTTATAATCTAATACGCAATATCGTTTATCTTATTTATTATAGTCAATCATTATTATAGATAGATTAGTGCATGATTTGACTGACTCTCAAAATAAATAAATAAATATATTAATTTAGTCTGAATTGAGCAAATGTTCAAATGTGTGAACAAATGAAACATTTGAAACGTGGAGAAGTAAATGGATGTTGATATATTTTTGAAATATTAATAGGCATAGGCTTCTAGATAGTCAATATATATTTAGCAAATACATCGATATTTGATCCCATAGTTTTCACGATACTCTATATCATAACCTTCTTGTAATGAAGTTTTTCTTATAAAAGTTAGATATTAATCAAGAAAATTCAAAGATATGAAAATAATAATAACTAAAAATTTCTTGTGTATTACTATACATCATCTCCCATAACATTCTTAATGACAGAGATAGAGCCAACAAAATCAAATGGCAGTAAATATAGTTATTTGTGAAAAGAATCACAACACGACAAAGACTAAAAAACTTCCTTGTCTAAACAGACTCATGAAAATGATTTCTTCCCGTTGGTTTAAGTATCATTAGGATATTGTATATAAAAGTTTAGATCATTTCAAATCTATTTTGAGATCAAGTTTTTTTCTTTTTATAGAAGTATCTCACAGTTTTTATTGGCATTTTTGAGAACTGTTAAGGTTCAGATAGTATTAGTGAATGAACAAATTATTTTATAACAAATTGAATGTGTTCCAGTTTGACGAGTTTCTACCATTGGAAGCACAACTTTCTTGCGAGATTGAAAACTATAAAAAGATACTATCCCTTCTTATTATGCAATAACATGATTGCGAGACAGACAGACAGCCAGAAAATGTAAAAAGTTAATGAATGTTTTTATACTTCATCACACATATCTATAGATACTTTTTTTGCTACACTGTTACAAAAGAAAAAGAGATGCCATCAACTCAGCTACAATATGAACGATATTTGACTATATTTTTATGTATCTTTTTGGTTGTTATGAAATTTCTCTCTTAATTTTTCTGAGCTTTATCAATCATTATACATCAGAGTGAGTTTTTGAGTGCGAATAACAAAAAAAAGCCTAAAAAACATAGATATTTTGAAATCAACTGAGTACCGTTAATAAATTGTGCAAGTTTCGAACTTGACATGATTTTATTGTTAAAAACCATTATTGTAGAGAACTGTTTCGACTTTAAAATAAGTATAAAAACAGTTGTCGATTGATCAAAGAGACTGTAAACAAAAGCCTAAATCTTGTAATAATGGAGCGATAAAAAAATCGATTGTTTAGTAAAGTGTTCGCCCAGAAAGATTCCAATGTCTACGCAGCAAGAAGTCGATGTTGAAAATGTCTAGTGTTATGATATTTGTGATTGTTTTTTATTAATTTGTATCAAAGAGTCAAACTTAGGAGTAGTGTCATATATTCAGAATTTTGGAGATGCGTCCACATCTCTCGCAGGAGACGCGGCCATTTTCCACTGGAGATGTATCATCTCCTTTAGAGATGTACATCCCCCACACCCGTCTTGCCATTGTATCGTTGAACGAATTTTTCCGGTATATCAATATACTTGCTTCGAATATAATCTGCAAATCCTTTGACTAAGGAGTCGAGAAGGACACTAGCGCTGACACCTCTTCCAAGAATTCCGTAGACAACGAAATGAACAGCATATACTTATAGCATCTCAATCCGCTCAATAAGATATGATTTTCTCCAATCATGTCCAATAAGTTTTTGCAATCGCTATCGAGTAAAGTAAGTATGGAGCCATTCATATTCGTCTGCTTCATGAATTAAAGAGTCACAAATTAGCGTTTCCTCCCATGTCTCCACTTCGTCCAAGAGTCTCCGTAACTGAGACATGACCAAAATCGATATCCCGTTCGATTCCACCAGTCTTATCAAGTAGTGTTGCGATCTCCTTTAATTCAGATTGAGCAATAATAGCAGGATAGTAGACCAAATACTGATTTGGTATGAGCATCCTCATATCATTGCTATAGTGCATACTCAAGTAATACTGCATTCCATATCGCATAAAACCTGAAGCTAGACTACCAAGGACAGTCTGTGACTTGGCTTGAGCAAAAATGCGCATATACGATGTACCTAGTAGTTGACTTGCTGGATTGTCTTCAGCTTTGGCATACACTTGGAAATCCAAAATATCGAATTAGTCCAATGTACCTGCTTCTTGTAGTGCATGCTGAATCTGACGCTTCACGAAGGCAAATTTGGTGTCTGTGTTTCTTCCCGTGGAGTTCAGTACCAGTTCACATTGGTAGCCGCCATCGTAGAAAATAGCACGTTTCGTAGTGGGTGAAGATGGATGTCCTTTTGCACCCGTGACGTGTACTCGATTCGACCCTTCTTGTGTAATCTTGATGTCAGTGACATCAGCTTTGACATCACTGTTTAAATACATACTTTCTTGAAGTTCATACAGAAGTTGGCATTTAACTGTATCGATATTAACAATAGCCCCCCTCCCCCTCAGAAACCAACTTTGTCATTTCTCATCCGATTTCAACGAAAATTTCAGAGAATATTAGTATTGGCTAGGGGAGACTGTGGTTAAAATATCTCACCAAATCTCTGAGAAACGAATGAGTTACAGTCAATTGATTGGTCAAAAGTACCCTCCACGCGGGCAAGGTTTTCGATATAAGAATATTGGCTAAACATGTCGGCGTGGTATTTAACTTGTAGAGTGCTCTTAGGGCCAGATCCTCACAAGCTCCGATTTTTAAATTTCTCTTTGTTTGATTTTGAAAAATACTTTTTCGAAAAATGTTCAAATTCAAAGCGCTAATAAAAATGAAATATCTAAGTTTTTTATTTTAGGAAAAGAGAAATTTAAAAATCGGAGCTCGTGAGGATCTAGCCCTAACTGCCTGCTATAAAGCAAAAAAAAATGATCACTTCTATATTGAGTCGTTATTAAGAAATCCTTGCCCGCGTAAACGGTATGGTCGAAAAAATTGATTTTGAGAAGAACGAAAAATAAGTTTTTAAAAACCTTATTTTTTTCAATACGGGGGTTCAGAAAAACCCATGTAATATCCTTAAATCTCATGATAAAATCAATCAACTATAGTACATTCGAGAGTAGACCCTTAGCTCTATATAATGAGTTATAAATCACAAAATCGATAAATTTGACCAGAATTGACTTTTCTGAGGGGGGGGGGGGGCTTAAGGACTATTTTTCGTCAATCATACAGCACTGTCTTCAGTTGAAATTCTATAAACTTTATTTCATCCACCACCGGTTTTGACCTATCACTGGTAGAAATTGTCACATCTTTAATCACGAAAAAAATTAAATCACATTGGTTTCCCATTTCTTAATCAAGATTTTGAAGTTCCTTTTACAATTCTATTCTTCATCAATGCTTCGAAATTTTCATCATTTTAGTTCTCTGTATATTTTATTGACAGAGAACAAGCAATCGATTCAATGTTTCCAAATTATTTCATGAATAGGATGTGACTATTGACAGAGAGAGAGAACGAGAGCATGGACACGCGTATCCTAGAATTGTCTTCGTTTGTTCAGTTCTAGTAGCAAAACTATTGAAAATCAATGTCTAATATTAAAATATACTTTTCAAATTTTAGTATGAAATTTAATTCTCTAAATATCTGATATTTAAATTTTGAGAAAATTCTATCCTATTGATCTAACCAATAATTGAAAATTCTCTTTGTTTCGATATCCTTCTGATTTGACTGTTTAATTGTGTCTTCTATTCGTTACAAGTATTTTCGCAATTGTTTAATCATTCTACAAGACAAAAAATGCAATTTTAATTGTTCCTCGCACTACTTAGATATTTTATTAACAGTGCAACGATTCACAAGGTAATTTTTCTTTGAATTGTGAAAAAGTCTCTACAAGAAGATAAGCAGCAACAGACCCAATTAAAGCACCAACTTGATTACTAACACCAAACCAAAACATCCCATTTGGCGAATGTATTCGAAGATAATTAGCCATAACAAGACGAGGATAACCGATAAAAATATAAGTACTCAACCAAATGAGAAGTACAAGAACACTTCCTTTTATTGTATTTGCAAATGGTGGACAAGGGCTTTTAAAGCATAGGAACACATCGAAAATAAATGTTACCGAACCTAATAACAACATAATTAGTAAGTAACGTTTGCCGACAAACGGCTTTTTTACTCCAAATAAGGATACGATTGAAAGCATCCAAGAAGAAAGAATCGTTCCCAAGTAAAATATTTGATGTCCATATGGCATCAAAACATAAGTTGATATAGAAAGCAATACACCAAATATAACCGAAGTCGCATAAAGGCAACCCAATAAAAGGAGATAATAGGAAGCCGTAGTAAGTATGTATTCATTTGATTTTTCACTGTTGTTTGAAATATTGATAGCCTGTATTGTATCTAATTTATTCACATCTGATAATGAAGATTCATTTGTTGACACTTGCCGAAAATTCTTAGAAACTTGTGTCCATTGTAGAAATATCAAGGAGATAAACGACATAAGAAGGAGAAAGAATATACAAAGAAAATAGATTGATACTGAAAATCGAGCTGTTTTATAAACAGCAATAGTCGAAAAATTTGATGTTTTATTGTTATCAAATAATGAAATACATTCTAATCGACCATTACCTTGTGCAATAGCTAGAAAACTTGGTAAAATCATTGATAAACTTTCGCCCAGGAAGAGAGTACTGGTAAATTTAGGTTGAAAATGAGTCATATAATCGGATAATGTGACCATTGATGTACAATCGACTAATGATAGAAAAAGTGATAGAATAAATAGAGATACACTTCGATTTTCTCGTAGAATATAAACTGTATTCGACCAGAAGAAAACAAGTAACACACATGACGTCATTCCGATAAAAATGACAATATAATTCAATAGTATTAAATTGAGACGATGTTTACCGAAAATACATTTGAAAATAACAAGAGCAAATGGTGCAATATTACCAATATTGATAACTAAACCAAGATGAGCTCCTAATTTCCAGCCTTCTGGTTGAGTTAAAACAATTTGAGATAACTCCGCAAATATTGCGTTAATGTCTACCCATGATGAAATAGAGACAAAAGTCAGTAGTAAATAAGTTATGCATTCTTTGAGTTTATTAAATTGATTGAACATTCTCAAAAATTTATAGGTAAATGTTGCGTTGATCAAAAGAAATCTAATACGATCAAATGTCATGAATAAAAAAGAGAATAAAATAATTAAAAAAAAAGCTGATTATATTACGATTCTCTGGCCTATTAAGTCAAATGGTAGAAGAGCACAACACTAAGGGTAAGCACGACTGATAATGTATTTTTTAATCCAGAATGAATACACTATTCGAAATGCGTAAATGTTAGAACATTCACGTTGACCTTCAATCCTGTTTGGACACACATTCGATTGGGAAGACCACAAAATAATGTAACAAAATGGCAAATATTGAGTTTGACATTTATCTACAATGATTAATTTATGGAGTAAAAATTTTAAAAAACACATCATAGTCGAAATTGACGTGTTTTAAATGAAAAACAGCTGATTATATTTAGTTCAGCATGCATTCACTGATCGTCTGATTGTGATTTAGATGATTAGTACTTCTCTATTAAAGTTCGAAAGAATTCAGTAGCCAAATATGAAGAAATATGTCTCACATATATTGGAAGCAAGCATATACAAGTGAATGTTAATAACGACGCTGCAAATTTTGCAGTGTGTAGGATCCATTTCGCTCTGCGAGATAAACAAAGACATGATCAATCAATCAAAAAAGTTATCTAAATTTCTACTCTCTTTGACACGAAACAATTTTCAAGAATCAAACTATAGTATCAGCTGAATGAAAAACTGAAGTTGATACTAATATACTATTTAAATTCGAGTTTTAACGGTAAAATCTGTATTCCTTTAAATTTTCATATGCAATCAAGAGAATATGAATTATATAATGAGATGGGTATGGGTTTTGGGATATGGTACATAGCTCTCAATATGAGTGTGTATTGGTGTGGGTGTCTGTTGCCAGAAAAAGAATTTCAGCCACACCCACATCCTCATTATTTGATCGATGAAATTCGGCTCGTTTTGAAGCGTTACAGGTTTGCTGGTATTGCAAAGAAACTCTCACACTCATCAGTTCGATTCGATCATAAACGGATCTCATTGTTGTTGAGTCATTTTCTTTGTTGAAAGTTCTTAAGTGGAAAAGCACACATTTCTACACACAAACATGTTGTTATTGTATCCACTGTCAAGCATTGACATATATTTCAGAAATGTTCAAAGCGGTTCCTGTATCGATCAATAGAGCTCACTTTGATCTCCAAAATTATGCATACGGTTTTCTCTTAAAGTTAAATACGAATAGTAATAGCTCAAATAGTATATTTTTTATATAATTCCACAATTTTCATTAAGGCAATTTTTCGGCCAAATTTTTTTGCCTATGAGAGTTTCGAGAAGAAATGAATGGCATGAAAATGTAGCTCGCTTATTTCTACTTTCAACTATACACAGCAAGTTTGCTTAAAAACATTCTAGAACTTCGATAGTCAAAGTCAAAAGTTGGCCTCCATAGTACTGTATTTCATGTAATTATGTGTGAAGGTTGGCTACCATTCGCAATAGCTCAACCATTCATTTGTATCTATTTTCAATTGAAACTAGGCAAATCTGAAGATTTATATAAAGTGAACATGTCATGGGCAGTAATCGTCAATTTTTATGAACACTTGTCCTTTTGTGCCGTAAGTGAATAATGCGCCTGGTTGCGAACCGGAAGATTGATGCTTCGAGTCCATCCAGGAACAGTTCTTTATGCTGTTTTCAACCTGAGTCTGTTGAAAGAAAATTATGAAATACTTTATTCAGTGAATGACTATTTCCTTACCAAAGTAATTCCATCACAATAATATGTTGATGCAGGAATCTCAGCATCAGTATATTTCAAATGGGTGTGGGTGTGAGTGTGAGTGTGGATATAGCTACAATGTCGGTGGATGAGGCTCTTCAGTTGATCCTCTCACCCGTACCCACACTTAGAACCGTGCCGATACCAACAACGACACCTACAAACACAACAGTGATCCCAGTCTTTCTATTAAACAGAATTTGTTCATATTAATGATCGAAAAGACACAATGCGTAATTGTTATTTTAATTTACATCAATCGAACCACACGATCTCTAAAATATCAAGAACGTGTATAATTCGGACAGGACTTATCTCAACAACTTCTTTTACATTCTTCAAACTAACCCAATTAAAAGGTTTTTAAAATCATTGTTATCGAGATTGAACATTTTTCACAACAATAAGTAAGCAAATGAAGTTCATTTTCAGATATTTATTTATACGGTCTGTATTTTGTCTGTTTTGAATGTAGTATTGTTTGTTCTGTTCCCTCTGAATTAAACGTGTGTACAAAGACTTTGTCATGCGTAATTATGATGAAATATATGATGGCACATAAATAGTATTGCATAAGCTTTATGTTGTTCTCACAAAATGACAAAAATTTTATATGCCTCAGTCAGGAATCGAACCTGATTGACACGATCTTCAGTCATGCGTCTTCACCATTAGACTACTGAGGCTTATGATTTTGAGATCCGACTAAATGTTCGATTATGGCTACATATAGAAGCAAACACATAGTACATACGTCACACCTGTGTCTATGAACATATTTCTCACTCAATTCTTTTTCTATTATGTTAGGCATTGAAGTAATTTCAATTCTATTTAATTACAAACTTCCTTCCTTTTATGTTATGTCTCAGATTATGAATGGATGCATTGAAATAGTTTTTTCTCTAATATTTACTTTTGACGTGAGTTCGAACTCATTTCATATCAGTATAATACAAAATGAAGAGTTATTTGTTTCACAGTCCTTTTTCACAAAACTTTTCTTTTTGTGTACTCAAAAAGTGAGTACACTCTAGAATCGGTCAGTATGTCCGGCCGGCCGGCCGTCCGTCCGGCCGTCCGGCCGTTTACACGATAACTTTCGAAAGGAGAGTCAGATCGCGATGAAAGTTTTTGCACAGTTCAGTCTTTACAATATCTCAGTCGAGTTCGAAGATGAGAAGGATCCGTCGAGAAATGACTGAGTTATAAAAAAAATTGTAATTTTTGACCAGATCATCCCTGAGGGGGAGTACAGGGATTTTTTCAA